CGTTTCCTTGCCTGGGACTTCATATCATTGTGACTTGTTAATCATTTGGTGAGTATAACGTGTGGAACATTCTCTTTTTCTAGAAATCTGGGTGATCAAAAGTCAGATGATGGTATTTCCTTTTATATCCTTAAAGCTCTTAATGTTTTCTGATGCAGGAAAAGTAATGGTAGAACCAGAATTATCTTCTAAGTAGAGAAATAGAGGAAATGTAAGGAAGAGAATAGAAGAATAAAGATAAGAGGAAATTAGAGATCAAGATGAAGAAATATAGAGAGAACAAACACAAGGAGAGATAATAGGGAATACACCCCAATGGAGGAATTCTTAGTTCATTATCATCTTTTTCTTTGTTGCTAACTACTAATCTTTATATAGACATTAGTTACAATGAATAAAAAAAATAGAAAAAGGAAATCTGGAAGATTCTAATTTCTGTAATATTTAAGATCTACCTCGAAGGAAACTAAATATTCCAATGAATCTCAACTAATAAAGAAATTATGTAAGAGGAAATCTAAAAGATTCTATTTTCTATAATGTTTAAAATTCAACTAAAAGGATCTAAACTATTATAATGTCTAAATAAACTTAAATAATCTAAATAACTTAAAAATGAAAAATGATATTAATTACAAAAGGTTTCTTTAATGGAAAATTTGTTCCCAACTTAGATTTTCTTGTTCTTCTAGTTTTTTTGTTGAATGATAACATATTTGAATCTTGGGCTCCTTGAGTGTGTATACGTGCATAGCCTACTTTACTTACGTCCCCATAATCCTAGATGGTAGAATGAAATTTTCACTGGGGTTAAGTTAATTATTGTTGTCTGGATTGCTTCTCCTAAGATGCCCCATACATATGATTAGTTGCAAGCTTACGGACTCAATATGCTCTCTCCCTAGATGTAGGTGTTCTATGCTCCAGGATGACTAAACTACACTGTCACCTTTTTCTATATTGTGGTGGGACTTGGAGACTTTGGTTTTTTTTTTTTGATATTTTGGGCATCTACTCTCCTCCCCTTCCCCTTGTCTAATTTTTTATTTCGTCCCTTAGGGGAATTGGACTGAAGAAAGAAGCTAAGGATTTTGGACAGGTGCTTTTTTGCTGCTTTGGCTTTTATGGATGGAGCTTAATGTTAGACTCTTCAAATATCATTACTTTCTCAGACTCTTCAAATATCATTACTTTCTCTTTCTATTATTTGGGAAGATTTACTTCATTGGATTTTATGAGGGTCAAGGCTCATGGGCATCTTAGTGATTGTCCTTGTGATTTTGTTACAAAGGGACTGGGCTACAGTTTTTTATTAACTTTTTGGTTAGTTTGTTTTTCCTTTGCTTCTTTTGGTGGGTTTGGAGGATGTCTTTATCTTCTAACTTGAATAATATAGTACCTCCCCTTTTAGAAGATACCACCTGTTCCATCCTTAACAAAAAAGAAGTATATTATTAGAGAGAGAAATGAGACATCCTCCCAAAACAACCTTCCAACTTGCCTATTTACTTGTTTATCCTTTTCCCTATCTCAACCAAGGTTGCGAAGACATTAGAAGCTACAAATGCAGATGTTTGTGAGGATAATAGATGAATAATGGAGGTATTCCTTGTATCATGGGAGCTATTTAAACAAACTGTTAATGTAAATATTTAAATAATTTCCAATGAGCTTAGTGAGTCTACATAACTTACAGTGGAGAATCTCTTAGGTGAAGTTTGCTTTCGGCTAGGGAAGTTGGATCACTGGTCCTTGGGGGAGAAGCACATGGTTGTAGCCTTTGCAGGTGGATTGGCAAGGAGTGGAGTCATGTTATTGACAGGATCCATTTTAAGGCTGGTGATTGTGAAGAGGTTAGGTTTTGCAGGGATTGTTGTGGAAGCCAGGGACATTTTTGATTTCTTCGGAGGGGTTTCTTGTCAGAATTTTCCCCTCACCCAGAATCTCCATAATTGGGAAATTGTTAAGTTGTTTGAGTTGCTGGCCACTAGTCTTTGCAGTATCAATCCCAATAAGTTGTAATTATCCTTTGTGAAAACTTGCAGAAATGGTCTCTTCTTTTTAATGTCATTTACTTCAACCTTTTGGCCCTAGAATAACAAAGAAAGGCCAATCTTTGTATTATTTTTTAATGTAGGACAAAGTGAGTCTTTTTGTTTTTTTTTTGAAATAAAAGTATGGTATTTATCATTAATTACAAAGTGAGTTTGAATAAAATTATGGTATGTATTTGTAATTTTCCTTCCAAATCTGGAAAATCAAAGTTCCCCCTAGAATGAGTTTTTTCGTGTGGTAAACTTGCAGAGAATGTATCTTGACAATTGATAAACTGATGAAAAGGGGTCTCACAATGGTCAATAGATTTTATTTACGCATGAGAGCTGTGGAATCTTGCAACCACATTCTTTTATGGTTTCCTACAGCTTATACCTTTGGTACATCATGATTCACGGGCTGCTGGGTATCAATTGGGTCATGGCGGGTTCGGTTAGGGAGGTGATTTGGGCTTGGGATGGTTTCTGTGAAAAGAGGGATTTTTTAAAGGTTATTCCATTAACCATTTTTTGAGTTCTATGAAAAGAAAGAAATAGTAGAGCTTTCGAGAGTAAAGAGGTAGAGAATAGTAAATTAAAAGATAGGTGGTTACATTACTTTGACTTTATTTTGTTAGGGTATGACATTGGTTAGACTCGAGAATTTTGGAAATGTCAATGACACCCCAACACAATTGTAAATATTTTGTATGCAGGCGGTACCCCTTCGGTACCTTGTTAATATATTATTCACACTTTTTGTTTAAAACAAATAAAGTGAGTTTGAATACAATACTTGAGAAAATTTATCAAGAACCAAAATCGGAGATCTCAAATCTCAATGATTAGATCAATAACTTAATATTTGTATAATAATTATGTGAATAGTTTAGCTGCTAAATAAGCTATAATATCCTATATATAGACACTAAAATATAATCAAAATAAGAATTCTTAAGTACATCTACGAATTCTACTAAAAAGAAAAAGAAGCTAATAAACAAGCTAATTAATTGAATAGTCCATACAAAGAATAGGATCCTAATTCTAATGGGAATGTGGTTTGGTCGATTAATGTTAATAGGAATTTGAATGATGGGGAATTGGGGGAGTATGAAGGTTTGTTGCAGCTTCTTGCTAAACAGAATATTTCAAGTGGTGATGATCGGCTTCTGTGGAAATTGGAAAAAAATGACACATTTTCTGTTTCTTGTTACCAATTTTTGTGTATGAAGAGTGATGTTGGTAGAGGTATCCTTCCGGCCAAACAAATTTGGAATACTAAGGTTCCTCCCTGTGTTGCTTTTTTCTCTTGGGAGGTTTGCTGGGAGGATATTTTAACTATTGATAAGTTGAAAATAACGGCTGCATCTTGGTGAATGGTTGCTATTGCTGTTTGAAGGCGGAGGAAACATGTAATCACATTTTATCATGGTGCCCTATTGCATACTGCTTGTGGACTTTTATGTATGATTTTTTGGGTATTGATTGGGTTATTGCGGGGTCGGTGGGCGGAAAGATTTGAGTTTGGAATGGTTTAAATGTAAAAAAACAAGTTAGCAAATATGATCCATTTGACAGTTTTTTGGCTATTTGGAAAGAAAGGAATAATAGAGCTTTTGATAGTGAGGAAAGTAGCAATACTAGGCTAAAAGATAGATGAATGCATTATTTTGGGTCTATATTATTAAGACATGATATTATTAGTGATATGGATTTTGGGAATGTCATTCATACACTAATTGTATTGTAAATCTTTTGTACATAGGCAGTAACCCCGTTTTTGGTACCTTGTTAATATACAATTTATACTTTTTATTTTGTAAAAAATAGTAGGATCCTAACTGAGTAGGAAACAATAAACTTATATCATTAATAAGCCTATAGATATTAGTTTTTAAATAAGTTAAACATCTTAATAACACATAAAACAATTACATAAATTCATCTCAGTGCTGAAATGTGTTCGATTTAGTATCTCCCTGTTCTGCATCCATTTTTTTCACAACAAGTGGCTTGGGAAAGAATTATTGCTATTTGACAATTTGATGAAAAGAACTTATGGTTCACAGATGGTTTCTTTGTATGAAACAGAGGACATATCCTATCCATCTACTTTGGTGTTCTGAAGCCGAATGATTATCGGATTCAACATTCTAATCTTCTCAGTGGTTGGAAGGTTGGAGGGTAAATTTAGGCAGAAATGATGTATGGGACTGTCTTAGAATGTGGAGGAAACTAATGTCCTTAAATCCATCAGCTATTTTCTGAGTGGTACAAAAAAAAAAAAACCAGTTTTCAAGGGCATTTATCATGCTTTTGTTAGAATTAGAGACCATTTGTTTCCTTGTGTATTTCTCGAAGTGTCATTCTCTCCTAACTGAGAAGATTTATGGGATATCGTAGACATCTTTCTAGTTCACTTCTGTAAATCTTTTGGAACATGATACGGTGTCTGGCTAATGTTATTCTGTTTTCCTTTCAGAAAATCTAGATTTTGGAAAATATTTCAAAGAAGATATTTTTGGTTTTGTAAACTAACAGGTTTTCCAAATTTAAGAAAATATAAAAAGTTTCTTGAAATATATAAAAAATTCCTAACACTAAACAGCCTCTTAAAAAGGGTAATGCTGGAAAAAGACTAAATTTCTTAGCAACATCATTTTGCTTGTCTGACATTCTAGGGCATAATAAGATACATACATCATAATATTTGGTTGTTTATCAATTTGCTGAATTTATCTTATGGTATATGCAGGACGAGTCCAACCTGTACATCTTTCTCGAGTTTGTAACCAAAGGCTCCCTTTTAAACCTCTATAAGACGTATAATCTCATTGATTCCCAGGTCTCTGCATACACAAGACAAATTCTGCGTGGTTTGAAATATCTCCACGATAGAGATGTGGTTCACAGGTGGGAGAGAAATGGAGTTGATATGAATTTTCACATGTTCTAACATATTTTCTTCTCTCATATTTTGGGTTGTCTTATGCATTTTTTGTCTTCAGTATACTCCTTTCTGTTGTGCGTTATTTATGGTTTCTATGTTTGTTCCTTTTTGGGTTTTATAGTTTACTTGACATCTTAAACTTGGTGAATATCAATCTGTTCCACTACCAAGAAATTATATTTGTGCCATTTTAAAATTAGAAATAGTAATTTACTGCGATTCCCACACCTTTGCATTAAAACTAATGGATTTCAATTTATAGGTTCTTAGGTGTTGCAAAGAAAGAGGTACCAAAACATTGCATGCTTACAAGTGACTTAAAGCAATTACATGCTGATTTAGAAACATGTTCTTATTTGTTTCGATTAAAAATGTTTGTTAAAATAAGCAGTTATCATTTATTTGGAAAAAAAAATTGAAGATAAAATATGTAAAATGTTTGTTAAAACTAAGCAGTTATCATATATTTAAAAAAAAATAAAAATATATGAAGATAAAATATGCAGAATCATGCCACCATTTACTTTTTCACTGTCCATTTGCACACCGGTTTTGGAGTTTGACATATGGTTT